GCTGGGATAGGCTCCAGCACCCCACCGCGACCCAGAAGGATAAGCGGTATAGATGATGTGTGTGTGTGCGTGTGTAGCTGTTCTTGACCTTTTAATGACTGCAGTCTGCTGGGAAAGCTATGGTCAGTGAGGCGCTGAGAAAACATGTACTGTTAAAAGGTACAGATCAGGAAAATGGTATAAAAGAATATGTAAAGAACTTGATGTAGTGTAGAGCACTGTGAAGACTCTCATCGTCGCAGCGCCACAGGGACATTGCCAAGGCCAGGAAAATCCTCAAAAGTTGATGACAGGGCAAGAAGAAAACTGGGAAAATCAGGGAAGAAACCAAAAGGCCCACCGCAACATTTTTAAAAAGCATATAACAACAATCCCTCATATTCAGCACATATCTGGACCACGAGGTGTAGCAGAACATGGTCATGATATTTCACAAATAAGATCATCCAAGCCCATCTAAACCTTCAAAAAAGGACACAAAATCCCCTAAAACCATCTGATGAGACAAAGGTTCAAGTTTTTGGCCTGAAGTCTAAAAGACATGTTTGGCACAACAACAATACAGCTCATTAAGTAAAGAACGCCATGAAGCATGGTGGTGGGAGTGTTGTGTTTTGGGACTGCTTCTCTACCATTGGGATGGGGGCTCTAGTCAAGATTGATGGGACCATGACTTCAAGATATTTTGGCAGAAAACCTGCTGGTCTCTGTCAGAAAACCACAAAAGAAGAAAGGTTTCACCTTCTAACATGATGAAGATCCAAAGCCAACAACGAAGACAACCAATGAATGGTTTAAAAAGGAAGGTCAGTGAATAACAATAGCCAAGTCAGAGCCCAGACCTCAACCCCATATAACACCTGTAAAATGATTTAAATCAGACTGTGCTCAGAAGATCACCTTGCAGTTTGAATGAGCCGGAACATTTCCACAAGAAAGAGTGGGATAAAATTGATAAGTCCAGGTGTAAAGACTTTTATATATTTTGAAGAATTACTGTTGTAATAAAGACAGAAGGTACTTCAACAAAATAAAAGGTTTTTCATTTTCAACCAGTTTCCCTAATAATTGTGTATTTGTTTTTCTCTTAAATGTTGTTGGTTTCTAGTTGTCTTTCAATGTTACGTCCATTGAATCTTCAGCTGTAAGATCAAAACAGACCCACATTATGATGGAGCTGAACTGATATCTTTTTACTTAAAACACAAAGCAAGTTAAACCAATGGAAAAAGGTCCTTGCGATTTGTTGCCTTCTGTTTTTAAAGGTAGACTAAATGCCTCAATTTTAGGTTTACTCAGATTTTACTTTGATTCTTCTGCGTTTGCTTGTGTAACTTGAATACATTGTGGCTTTTATTTTCGATTGACAGGTGAGATCCTCCAGTGTTTGGGCTATAAATAAAGGGTCCAGGCCCCATTACTGTCATCCTATAGCAGCTTCTCCAGGTGGCCTCCACTAGACATCTGTCGCACGCTTACTCTCAGAGCACCAGGTTGTTTCCTTCATGTTAGACAGAGTAACCTGGAGCTGATGAAATGGACCAGCGCTGAATAAGAGGCTGAACAGAGCATTTATTGTTTTCAGTGGCAGGTTGGCCACAGATGAACAGAGTGAAGCTGATTTAAAATGCTTTAAAGCACTCTAGTATGTGTATGCATATGGCATTAGGCCTATAACACTAAAGATCGAGTGATTGTTAGACCTGTAGGATAAAAGGTCAATATTTCAGCTGCTGAGAACAAGCAGGGAAGTTAATTACACAGAAACTGGGCGAACCTGCACTGAGGTTCTCTGTAAAAGAAATAAATACACTTTCTTGGTTTGTTTGTTTGTTGTTCATGTTCAAAAGGGAAATTAAAGCTAATGTGACTATTGGTACGCTCTCTAGTGTTGGTAAAATTCAGCAGTCAGCTCTCAGATGTCCAGGAAAATGTAAACAATAGAAGCAATTATATGTTATTCTATTCAGATGAGCTCTTTCTACAGCTGTGATATAGAGTCAGAGCTGCAGTTGGGGCTGGAGAGCAGAAGTAGTCAGTGTGCTGGAGCTGAGCTGTTCAGAGATAAGTAGTCTGAGTCTGTTCACCACTCAGTTCTTCATGCTTCATCTGCACAACAGGGTTTTACCAGCAGCAGAAATCACACTGAGTCTGATTCTCAGTCAGAAAAGAGCCTGAATGGAGCCGCTTTATTCTCTATAGCAAAAGCCTATTTCAATTAACGACGACGATGATGATAATAATAATAATAATAATAATAATAATAGTAATAATGCTTTTAACACGCGCCTTTCATTTACTTATAAATGTTAAGGTGTTTAAAATAATAAAACCAGTTTAAACAAACGAAACCAATTCAAAATCGGCACTTTGTGAAATTAACATTCAGATTTCAGAAAAGCGTTCCTACATCAAAGAGCTTCCAAAGCGACCCGAACTGGTTTATTTCACTAAAGCTGGAGCCAAATCAGAGAAATCTAGTCACCAAGCAGTTTTAGAGAGAACAGGTTTAGGATCGTTTTCTGATCTTTTCTCTTTTTCTTTTCTTTTCTTTTGCTAATTTGTTTGTTTTTTTTCCGCGCTGTTAAAGCGGATCTCTTTATCTGTTTGTTCTGTGCGTTGTTTCAGGAAAGCCTGATAAAAGCGTTTATAATCTGCGTGTTCTGTTTTGCTTGTTCGTGATTATTTATACTCATTTTTAAATGTAAATATTTCGTTTTAATGTAGTGACTGCTTCAAAAACTGCTCCAAAAACTGCTTAAAATACTTTTAAACGTTAAAATATATTTATAATTAAAATAAGTAACAACAACACAACAACAACAACAATAATAATAGTAATAATAATAATTGTTTATTTCTAAAAACTAGCATCGCATCGTATCAACAATAATACGTTTCTGTTTCTGCTTTTTTTTTGTTTTTGTAGGGTCTCTCTCTCTCTCTCTCTCTCTCTCTCTCTCTCTCTCTCTCTCTCTCTCTCTCTCTCTTTTTCTCTCTGATCTCGCCTCTGTCTGCGCTGCAGGTCACATTAAACATTTAGATCTTTTAACCCAACTTTGGTCTTTTGGAGCTCAAAGCGAGAGACGGTCATAATAACGCGCTTTATTATTATTAATGATTAAATATGAGCGACATTCACTCTGAACAACCACTCAGCCCGAAATACAACCCACAGTTCACACAGCACATCTGCACTGAGTTTGATTATACAGTTAACACTGTGAGCATCAGAGCCACACTGTATGTTCATATACTGGAAAAATGAACAGTTAAAACTGACCGTGTGCAGATCTGTGACCAGAGCTTTTCTCTACAGGCCGAACCAATTTTACTTTTCTTTCTTTCTTTCTTTCTTTCTTTCTTTCTTTCTTTCTCTGTACGGGCTACTTTGTTTTCTTCACATCTTCATTTGAGAAGAACGACGCGTTAAAAACAGTGAAATTAATTTCAGTCATTTTTATTCAAACCACTTTCAACAATAAATAGCGTTACTGTTTCAAACAAATATTTAATCATTAATACATCTAAAGTGGACCGCAGCTGACCACAGCTCCAAATCCGCCATACGGACACAGACCGCTCGTGTGCAAATGAGACTGAAAAACAGGTTTGAGGAGAAGAGGAGGAGGAGAAGAGGCAGAGATGAGCCCCGCTCGGGCGGCTGATGACGAGGGTGGAAAATATGTGAGCAGCGGTCAGATCGGTTGGGCCACCCCAAACAGAGAAATCAGGTCTGAGCGGAGCTGTTTTGCCCGCACCTGCTCTGCTCCGCTCTGCTCTGCGCTGATTTCTGCTCCTCAGCTGATCTCCAGCTCTGATAGTCCTCCCTCCGCCAGCGCTCTATTTTGGTGATAATATTTTGGGTTCAGACTGCGCGCGCACACACACACACACACACACACAGACACACACACACTCTCTCTCTCTCTCTCTCTCTCTCTCTTACACACACACACACACACACACAGCTGCTGCTCACTGTATTAAATACACACATCAGTGGAGCGTTGATGTGAAACCGGTTCAGTTCTGATTCTCACTGATTTAACCTAATTTATGTGGAGCGTCTCGATTCATCCAAACGCGGAGACGCTCATCTGGTCCGAGATTCAGCAAAAACACGGCATTTCTTACACAGCTTAGTTTCATTTAGTACACTCTTAAAAAGATGGTTCTTCAAGGGTTCCTTAGCAAAAAATGGATCCATACAGAACTATGAACACACGAACAATCAGTTGCATGCTTAAATGGTTCTTTGCATGGTGAAGTAGTTCTTCAGATTGCTTGAGAATGTGTTGTATATGGTTCTGTATAGAACCTTTTTAAAAAATGTTCCATATAGCACCAAAAAGGATTCTTCTCTTGGTCCAAGCTTGACATCATAACAATAGCAGAACCCTTTTTGGTGTTATGTAGAACCAATTTTAAAAGGTTTTATATAGCAGAACCCTTTTGCTGCTATACAGAAGCATTTTTAAAAGGTTCCCTGTAGCAGAACACTTTTTGGTGCTATACAGAACCATTTTGAAATGGTTCTATATAGTAAAATCCTTTTCGGTGCTATACAAAACTAAAAAAAGAGGTACTATGTAGCAGAACATTTTTGGTGCTATATAGAACCACTTTCAAAAACGTTCTATAAAGCAGAACGCTTTTCGGTGTTATACAGAATCATTTTCAAAATAGTTCTGTATAGCAGAATCTTTCTGGTGTTATATAGAACTATTTTCAAAAACCATATGCAACACATTCTCCATCAATCTGAAGAATACTTTCACCATGCAACGAACCATTTAAGCATGAAAATGTTCTATATAGAGCTCATTGTCTTTACTAAAGAACCATTAAAGAACAGTCTTTTTTAAGTGTGCAGGCTACAATATGGATATTCAAAAGGCCAAATATCGCGATAATTATTAAGGACCTATCAGGCGTCACTTTGGATGAACCGCTGTGGAGAAAGAACTGCTTTCTTCTTGAACGCTGCCAGACCCGCTGGGCTGCTGCCTGTACAGTCCACACACAGCACACAGAACTGAGAGAAAAGTCTGTAGCCTGCAGTAAACTGGCCGTTCTTCACTCTACAGCACAGTGACAAAACTGTCCATCGTCCTTCAGTGTTTGGTGGAGTTCACAGGGCGTCTTTCTTCCCACCTATATTCAGACAAGCCCCGCCCCCTACGCTACGAGTGGCAACTAGTACCCCTTCCTTGCGTTAGGATAGGCTAGTACACTCTTAGCTCTGTAAAACGGGGTTCTTTGACTCGCAGGGCCAGAAGAAACCCTTTCAAATGGTTCTTTCAGTGTTCACAGGTCTATATATAGAACCATTACAGTGTAGTTTCCCCTTTAGTAGTTTTGCAGTTCGTGAATCTGAACCGCGACCCACTCGCAGCGCAGGGGGGCGGGGTTTGTCTGAATACGGGTGGGGTCGATGTTGCCCCTCACTTCAGTCCGTGCTGGGTTTCTTTGTGCCTCCGCAGGTCGACCTTGCGCTGGAAGCCCTTCCCGCACAGCTCGCAGGCGAACGGCTTGAAGCCCGTGTGCTTGCGGCTGTGTGTTATCAGATTAGAGCTCTGGCTGAAAGCTTTCCCACACACCTGACACTTGTGAGGCTTCTCCCCTGCAAACAAAACCAAACAAAAACAAAAAAAAAACAAACGTCAGCTCCCGGTTTGGATAGCAGCGTCACAATATTTACATTCGCATCAGGTATGAACAGTAAAGTACATCAGTCCATCAGACAGGCTTACACCTGCACTCAGATGGTTCTCCAACGGTTCTTTAGTAAAGGCAATGGTTCTATTTACAACTATGAGTTCTGTATTGAATCATTTCATACTTAAATGATTCTTTGAATGGTGAAATGGTTCTTCAGATTGATTGATTGATTGATGTGTTGGGTATGATTCTAAATAGAACCTTTTTGAAAATGGTTCTATATGGCACCAAAAAGAATTCTTCTATTGTTCCAGGATTGACATCATAACAATAGCAGAACCTTTTCTGTGCTATACAGAGTTCTATATGGCATCAAATGGGTTCTTCTACTGTTACGATGTCAAGCTTGGAACAATAGAAAAATCCTTTTTTTTTGGGTACTATATAGAACCCTTTTTAAAAAAGTTCTATATGGAACTATAAACAACACATTAATCAATCTGAAGAACCATTTCATGATGCAAAGAACCCTTTAAGCATGCAAATGGTTCTTTGAATGTTCATGGTTCCATATAGAAACATTGTCTTGACTACAGACCCCTTCATCTCTTTTAAAAGCACATATGGTTCTACACTCTTAAAAAAGAGGATTCTTCAAGGGTTCTTCAGTAAAGAAAATGGTCTTATATAAAACCATAAGAGTGTTCATGGTTCTACATAGATCCACTGTCTTTACTAAAGAGCCCTTGAGGAGCTGTCTTTTTTATTTTTTTGGATTTTTACCCAATTTTCTCCCCAAATTTAGTCGTCTCCAATTCCACCCGCTAGTTAGGACTCCCCCAATCACACCATACTATCAACGCTAGGAGGGTGAAGGCTAACACAGGCTTCCTCCGAGACCTGAGAAGCCAACCACCGCTTCTTTTCGAACTGCCGCTCACGCAACGTCATTGGACAGCTGAACGCGCTCGGAGGAAAGCGCCAACCGCCAGATCTGTTACGTCAGCTAACAGACGCCTGCATTGACTAGCATCGCGCTGAGTGATGGGGGAGAAGGAGGGGCCATCCTACCCACCCGGGGAGAGAGAGACCATTTGTGCTCTCTCGGACTCCCGGCTACGGATGGCTGTAGCATCACCAGGGATCGAACTCGCGATCTCCTGATGATAGGGCCAACTCTTAGACGGTTGCGCCAAACGGGAGCCTCGAAGAGCTGTCTTTTTAGGAGTTAAGTGTCCTCTGGTGGATTTCAGGTTTCATGGTGTCTGTTTTTGACACATTCATCTCAAACTGCTTTGTGGTTTAAATCTGAACCTGTCAGGTATTTGGTAAGGACTGCTGAGGCTGCCCTACCTGTGTGGATGAACGTGTGCTTCTTCATGTCCGATTTCTGGTGGAACCTCTTGCCACAGTACTGACATGGGTAAGGCCTTGTGTCTGAGTGGATCAGGAGGTGTGTGGACAGGGTGGAAGATCGTTTGAAGCTTTTCCCACAGATTTTACAATCAAAACTCCTCTCCTGTGTGACGAGAAGACAAACAAACTCAGTCTGAAGCTCTTAGTTTGAAGCACTGCTCACCAAGCCTCCACATGATGACCCACCTCCCAGCAGGTTCAACCTCCAACCCAAATGTACTACATCTGATCCAGTTAATGATCCAGCCAAACTGGATCAGACCACCATAAGCAGTGTATTCATTAATAGCTATAATATGTAGTATATACCCACATATATGGTATGTAGTATATAGTAATAGTTGTATATAGTATATAGTAAAAGTTGTTTGAGACACAGCCAAAGACAATAGCTAGATCAGTCAGGTGTGCTGGATTAGGGTTCGAGCAAAACTCTGCAGCGTGCTGGAGCTTGACCATGGGTCATGTGGTGTGAACCTCAGTTTACTTTGACGGTCCCGTACCTGCGAATGAACAGCTCTGTGCTGTTCCAAGCTGACCGCATGGCCGAAGGTCTTCCCGCATATGTCACAAGCGAAAGGTCTCGTTCCACTGTGGGACCTCCGGACATGGACCTCCAGGCCGTGTGGTGTGGAGAAGACCTGCAGTAGAGAAAATAATTAAAAATGAATAATACTGAATATGTAAATGTAACAACCCGTAGGATTTGGATTGTGCCTTTATATAGTGCTCAGTACACATATTGTCCCATCTATGGTTCTTAATAACATCATGAGTGCTGATTTAACTCTTAGGGACAGGGATTAAGCCTAGTCTTGGACTATACCTCATTTGGAATGGGGATTTTCCATTGACTAGGTTTAATGCCTGTCTGGGTAACCAACCCTTGTGCCTAGTTGTTAATAAAACAGGTTCCATCTACAGCCCTTCACTCTGCAGGATGTGACACAAACGGCGAGTTGCTCCGTCGTACCTTGCTACACTTGATGCATTTGAAAGCTCCATTCAGCATTAGGCGACTACACAGCGTGGCTGTGTCAGACTTCATCTCAGGTCCATTTCCACGAACATTCCTGTCCACATAAAGCCCAGGCGTCGTGGTCCGCTCAAACAGGCTGGCAGTGGACTCGTAGTGGCCATAAACACCTGTCCCAGATCCTCTCTCACTGAAGAGAGGAGGTTCAGCCACCCTCTCAGTGTAATAACTCCGCTCTGGATCCAGCGGGTGATGATGGTGATGGCTGAAGTTCCATGGGTAAGAGCCAAAGGGGACAGTAAACGGTCGTGTTTCATCCCCACACGGAGAAAAAGATTTCTCAGAGTCTGCTGAAGAGGAAAAAAAAAAAGGCAGAGTCAGCACTGCCGTGCTCATTTGCAAAGGCAGCAGCTTGCTGCAGGCTATACCTGTTTCTGTTGGTTAAACGAAGACTGCTGTGTTTTGGGATGTCAAACAGTAATCAGCCCCTGCTTGATTTGCACACAGTAAAACAAAGAGCAGATTGTGGTTTTACTGCCGTTTACTAATGTCACTAACCACATAACCTCAAGAGCAGGCCGGGTTTGATCAGGCAGATACACTTCATAGCATTTGTCATCAGATTTTTCAAGTCCAGTACAGATTAGATTAGCATCAATAATCTGGCTCTGTGTTAGAGATCACTTACTGTGGGTTCAGTGACCTCAGATTAATAATGTATTATTTAATTACATTAAAATGAATCATGTTACAATGCACTGAAAAATAAGTGCCTTTATTTGGCTTGATCACATTTGTTCCTCCTGAATGAACTACATCACATCAACAGTCATTTTTTCTTACATACTTTTGCCAGTAACCGTGTTTATGTTCTCTTCCTGTGGAAATGATGAACACATGCTGAGCCTATTTTTGTCAGGGTGCAGGTTACAAACGAGAAGACCACCCAGCCTACCTGGTGATGCTGAGGGTGAGGGTGGGCGCCAGTAGTCCTCATAATCTGAGGAGCGGTCACACACACTCCCTCCACAGCTGAGAGGAGGAGATCTGGAGCACAGATCAGCAGGGTCCGGAGAAAAGGCTCCAGCAGGGTCTGACCGGCCATCCGGGGAGCACTCTGGCTCCTCAGCAAGCTTACTGTCTGTGAGTGTAGAGAGGATCAAATAAAAAGATGAAGAAAAAAAGGCTGCATTTTTGCAAATGTATCTGTTTGTAAAAGCTGTTGGTTTAGGCTTAGAAAAACGGATAGAAACACATAAATGGTATGCAAGAGTTTCAAAAAGACAAATAAACACAGATTTGATTTTTTTTTATTATTACAGATAAAACTAAATGATTAAAAAACGTGAATGAAGACGTTTTATGGTTATTTGTTGTTTGTACACCGTAAAAATGGTTATCAGTTCAACCTAAAAATACTTCATGTAGTAACAAGTAAATTAACTAATTTTATTCTTAACTCAAAAATTTATTTTGATTGAAAGAAATGTTTAATGTATTTATTTTGGTTGAATAAAACGGCCTAATTTACTTGTTTCCGCATGAAATAAGTTTTTTAGATCGAACTAATGAACAATTTTACCGTGCAAAATCTCAGTTTGATTTCAAATAAGATTTTCTAATGAAGTATAAAATTATTACATTTTTTTCGTTTTTTTTGCAGAGAAAATCTGCATTTTCACGGTAAAAATGGTTCGTCAGTTCAACCTAAAAAATTACTTAATGTGGCAACAAGTAAATTAACTAGTTTTATTCAGTCTAAATGAACACTGTGAATAAACGATTCTTTAGACTGTTATTTTTTGAGTTAAATAAATAGTTCAATTGCTAGTTACTACATGAAGCAATTGTTTTTAGGTTGAACTGACAAATCGTTTTTACAATGTACATATTTCATTCTGAGAACATTTTTATTCTGAGAATAATTTAATTATTTAAAGTATATATATATATATATATATATATATATATATATATATATATATATTACATATCATTTTTATAATGTATTGTTATGTACATATATATTTAGTTTATTCCAATGATTTCTAATTAGTAAAAGCACAAATATCAGTCTAAGCAACGAATAACAGAACAATATAAAACATCTTTAAAAACAGTAATTTTACGTTTTTCAAATCATTTAATTTTTAAATAGTAAAAGAGCAATAAATAAGATAATAGTATTAAAACTTTATTTTTAAAAACAGTATTTTTTACGTTTTTCAAACAGTAAAAAAGCACAAACATCACAGAATAACGCTGTTATAAACGTCTCTATTTTAAAACAGGCTGAAACGGTGAACAGCATAAAAACGCACAAGCATTCTGAGACGTTAAAAATCACAGCTGTGCAAGTGTGTGTATCACTGTGGTGAGTAGAGGTGGGTGTGGGTGGTCGTACCTGTGCAGATGTGCGCTATGAGTGCCTCCAGTCTGCTGTACTCCTCCTCCACACTGCGCGGTGTGTGGTAGCTGTGCGCCTTCTTACTCTTCACCAGGAACGAGCGCGGCATGTCTGACCCTGACCGACTCTCTGTGTCTCTCTCTCTCTCTCTGTGTCTGTCTCAGTGTCTCTCTCTCTCTCTCCTCCTTCTCTCTGCGCTGCGCTGAAGGCCACTCACTCTGAGCGCCGCGGCTCCTCTATTAAAGCAGCGTGTCTGCGCTCTGCGCATGCGCGCCGCTGACCGCCCGCCTGCCAGGTGCTTCGTCTTTTCCTTTACAGACAGGTGCTTTAAAGGAGCTGCCCCCCGCCACCAACTAGCGCTGCTGTTGCTGCTGCCCCCAGTGGGTGTCCCGAGGGGGCAGGAGGGGCGATAACAGCCTTTATCTGAGGGAGCACGAGCACAGGAAGCGCGAGACGATCACGCTGAACACGGAGCTGTTTCAACATCACACAAACACACAAACACACACACACACACACACAGGGAGAGAGAGGAGAAATCAAATGTTGTTTGTTGCTTTAACTTTAGTGAAGTTGAGTCCTTTGAGGCTTCGCCATTAAAACCAACTCAAAGCTGAAGGGTGAGAGCTGAACTCCACCTGAGGGAACTCGAGCTCTAAATCATTTTGCTCAACAAAAACAGGCGAAACTCATATAAATGTAGATCTGAATGTTTTCCTGCACTGTAGACTTACATTAGCTGACATATCAATCATGCAAATTATTCCCTTGCAAGTATTAAGTTACTTAACATATTCCCGCTTTAATGACTTTATATATGAGCTACAGTTACTTTCTCATCCACACCTCTGCAGTAAGTAAGCTTAACTCAAGCAGCCCCGTGGTTTTAAATGGTTACAACAGATCTGGCAGTGCTTTACTATTTCAACTGTCATTCTCTCTTCAATTAATTAGATTAACTTAAACCAAATATTGCTCCTGATGTGATGCAGTGACATCCATTAAAATAACTCCCCTGTATTAAACAGACTGTTTTGTACAGTACTGAGTAAATGGCTTACATGGAACTAGAGCCATCCATTAATGAGGACTCTTATAACTGATAAACCTGAACACTGAAAACCATCATAGTGTGAAGAACAGAACTTCACATTTAAAGTGAGAGTAAGCTGTGACACTAAAATATCACTTTGTGAGAATTATATTCATAAATTAGAAAAATAAGACAAGTAACAGAATAAACAGAAACCAATAAAACTGCTAAGAATGCTGGAAGCTTTACAGGCAAAAGACTCTTCAGGCTGTAGGACTTTTCCAAATGAACTGATCTACATTTACCTCACTAACAAGGGGTTATACAAGAAATAGTGTAAACCTTCTCACAATAAACACATTCCACCAGAACATCAACACTGCTGTTCTTACAGTAACTATTTTAATAACTACTTTAGCTGCTGGCATTAAGATTTATTTGTTCTGTTTTGTGTTGAAATTAATTGACTATGCTTTGGTTGATCATGCAAAAAAATGTATAGACTTTTTTTTCTCATTACAGCAGAAAAACAGCACAAAACAGAGTGGTATATTCACTGTATGGAAATGTATTTTCTATAATTTAGCAAAGGTGCAGCAGTAACAGGTACAGTAAACGTTAGTCCATCTGGTCTGCATCACTCAGCCATCACACCTAGAAACATGAACTATACAATATATTTCCTCTCGTTTCAGAGCCGGATTCATTGTGAACAAGGTACGATCTTTTTATAGATGGTGAACACCTGACCATGATTTGATTGGCCTGTTTACATTCATTTCAATCAGCAGTTTGTCTCTATGGTCATTATAATCTATGAAAGCTGTGATATAGTGCTTGTGACTTAGTAAACAGCTATGCAGCTATTCAGATTCCAAGAGTTGTGCTGTGTTAAGAGGTGTGAAAAAAGAACTGAGAACTGAAAATGCCTGTTATTTTGTATAACAAGCATTTGTGACTGTATAAAAATTTTGTTTCTAATAGGTAGATTCTCATAATCACAACCTTTATAAATTTATAAATTTGTATGGAAAATGAATTTATCTATTTACTCACTTATTTACTTTTTGCTTTTGCTTTTTTCAGCTTCATCAATTCTAAAATAAATTAGATGTATATCATTACGTATGTTTGGTTACTCGCTCATTTTTTTGTTTGTTTGTTTATTTTGCAGAACAATCATTATGAAATAAATCTTTGTCTCAGAGGTGCTTTGTGTCCACACGGTTTTGAGTTGCTGGCTGTGGTGGAACAGAGCGGCCTTGTTCTCCAGGCTGCTGACCCGTGCCGACCCCACGACACCTGCTACGCCCGCCGTTGCATTCAGCACTGCGGCACACAGACTGCAGGCAGGCTGACCAGACTGAGAGTGCACTCTCTCACCTGTCGCTCACTCGCTCGCCCTATCAGCAGGTAAGGGTGTGCTATCAGTTTGAGTAGACCACTGTAATGCTCACAGCCTGTGAGAGAAACTGAGAGGGAGCCCAGCCGGCTTCAATAGAAAATATAATGCATTTCAGCTGCATTATGTCAATTAAAAAATATTTTACATCGACACAATTTAATCTTTTAGTTCACTTACTTTTGGCTATACAGTCAATAAATAAAGTTAACAGATTTAACATTCACTAGATTTAAGAGTCATCAAATCTAAGACACAGCCAATATGCAAACAGAAGCAGCAAATGGGACAGAAGTGAGTTTCACTCACGAGCCAAATAAAATACTTATCAAGATAATCTGACAAGTCACTGTATTACACTGAACACTGATCTGACTCACTCGCACTTAGTTACAGTGAGTGCTGGCTGATATTTCATATAAACCACCATACTGTGATACTGTTTTTCAGTTACTGCACATTTTTAGGGATATTCTTGATAAATAATGCACATTATATACATGATACAATGCAGATAAAGTAAAATCTGTTTTTATTTATTTACTTTTACTTCTGTGTCATTTTAACAGAAGCAGAACAGAATATAACAGTTCAATCAGCTTGTAAAGCTTTCTTTTAGAGAGCAGCTCTCAGGAAGCTCATTAACTTATTAACGTAAACTTAAAGGTCATCAGATACTGTGATATACAGTTTGAAAAGGGTAAACACTCTCGGCCAAATGACGCTTTATTGATTTTCAACAAACTTAAATCCGGCATTCTTCCTGCAAATTTTAGTGCGCAGTTTCTGTTCTTTTGCTGAGTTTGACAGAGTGGGGGGGGAAATAAAAGGTGCCATTACTTTTGCACAGGCCACATTTTATGTTTTTTTTTTTCCCCAGTATGTTCAGTTCAGTAAATAAACAATAATTGTTTATTAAAATATACAGAAGTGTACAGAGGATGTGGTAACGTGTGTGGGTGTGTATAAATATGTATGTGTATATATATATATATATATATATATATGTATATATATATATATATGTATGTATGTATGTATATATATATATATATATATATATATATACACACACACACACATTTTTATATGCGTGTGTGTTTATCTGGTATTAAGATATATATATATATATCCATATCTATATCCATATCCAAAACAGAATGGTATATCTTTACTGTATAGAAACAAAACAATATTTTCTATAATATGGCAAAAGCTACAGTAGCCACAGGAACAGTAAATGTTTAGTCCATCTGGTCTGCATCATTAGGCCATGTGTCCTCGTCCAAACCATACCTAAGGTCCTCTCTTGGTTTTACACAGTACACATCCTTTAGCACTATCGCAGTCTGATCTTTCATTGCAGCTTTGTTACACTAATATAAATGAAGCTGTAACAGTCTGTCCTCTGCAGTTCACATCACCGGGTCCCACTTCTCAATGTATTACCAAGCCTGAGGTTAGAATGTGTGTTACAGCAGGAAATGCCCCTAAATACTGATAGAGGTTGAAATATGCAGGTCTTCAGGCTCCACACCACTACAGGCCTGCTCCTTTTATCAGAAACCGCACACAGCAAACTCAGCCTCATCTCTTTTAAATGGAGCTGACAGTGTGAGATGTTGAGGCAGATGCTGCATCTGAAATGTCTGCGTGAAGCAATCGCAGGAAATCAAAGCTCAATGTGCCCTCTGGTGATTAGAGCCACTGGCCCCAGGGCTCCCCAAGACTCCACTGATAGAGGCTCCATAAAACGCTCCACTTCACCAGCCATTAAGCAAATTACACAAAAGCAGCAATTAAGCACTTCAATTCATCAGCAAGGAAATAAGCCCATTGTTAAAGCCGCTTCGCAGCGTTCCCTAACGTTTGAAACCTGATGCATCTTAACCTGTTACATTCTTTTAGTAAAGGTGTCACAAAGGGCTCTTTGAGCAAAGGTGCATTTTCAGTCCTGAGAGAAATGTCTGTAAATGAGATGATGTGTGAAGAGAAACTCACATAATGTAAAGGTTCCTTACCAGTTTAAGGCTTCTTCCTAGAAATGTTACACTATGTGGAGGTTCTTTGAACTATAAAAGGCTCTTTATGTTTCATTTACTAAAACGGTTCTCTAAAGAGCTATCAAAATGTTCTTTTAGGAACCAAACATGGTTCTTCTATGACATCATGCAAAGTATTTATTTATTCGCCCTACCACACTTTTTCCCTCTATTATTGCTAGAGCACATCTTTATAATTTAAAGTGAAAGTTTGCTTATGTTTATTTATTTTTCATGATCATGTTTATAGTGCAATTAAACACACCACAGTTTAAGTGGATTCAACAGCCTGGATGAGTATCAGAGATAATGGAAAATGGATTTTGAAAACTTTTGAAAAAAAAGAGACTTGTTATTACATGTGTGTTATTATGTTATTACATGAAATTCCTGCGTTGGCTCACTTCAATGTTTATAAGCATTATATGAGCTTCGCGAGTCACAAACTTCAAACTAACATCAGGGTTAACACACACATCTCATATTGGTCACCTCATGTTTACACACTAAAATCCAACCCAGCAGCGTGTCTAAATCATATAAATATAAAATCACATTTTTTATATATTACCATATTTATATATATATATATATATCCCACTATTTTCACAGCCAAGGTACCTCAGATCAAATAGCACACAGCAAGGTGTAAAGAGGGATACACTCTTCAGTTCAAATGTTCATTAGAATTAAAAGAATACAGGTTTCATAAGAACTCAACACTAACAGAACTTAGAACCTAATCAAGCACAACTTCAAGGTTGTAGGGCAGCCGAGCTGACAGCTAGAAGCTTTTTGCGGGGCGTGATTTACTGATTTCAGAGGTCTGATTGAAAGATGGCTGGACTCTTAGGCTGCACAGCCACTATTTCAGAAATCCATCCACACTCACGTGGCTTACCTGACCTCCTAAAGGCTGGGCTTTCCTGCGTTCAGTCTGGATCAGGCTCTACTCTGTAGCCGTGGTGCGTTTTTGGTGCATCTTGAGCTGTGAGAGATCACTTCCTGCAGACGTTCTTTATAACACGTCTCATTAGCAAGTCAAGCTCGGTGCAGGAAGGGCTCTGCTGGAGTTGCCACACTGCACACAGCCCTCAAACAGCCTGGAGAACATGGGGACAGAGATAAACTACAGAATACTCTGAGAGGAGAGCTCGGCCTCTGAGAAAAGCAATGCATTTAATTCCCATTTAAATGTGTACATCATTTTAGAAAATATTACAGCACAGTATAGTCTTTCAGTTTACCTCCTTTTGACAATGTGATATATTTTAACTGCAATTTCAATTGAAAATTCAAGCATGTTCATCAGTGCACTGAACCTTAGTTTACTATAAAACATGATAGTTATTCATCATGGAAATACTGAAATTAGTGAATCCAAATACCACAACTCATAAGTGGAAATTACAAATCTCTTGCAACACGGCACATCAAGCTTGTTTGTGTTCTTCTGAATGTAGGAATGTTCTTATTCTCACTGTGCATGTTATTAATTTACACTATCAAGAATACAAATAAAACAGACACTTTGTCAAACAGCATTTTTATTGTCAACTGATAAGTCTCAACTATTAACATTATAGACAGCCTACGCTTAGTGTTAATGCTCCGTCATAAGCACTTCTACGTCATGACACAGCCAGCCTTACCAGTGAAATTTCCATAAAGTCTCTTTCCTTTGCAGCACTCAGCATATTGACCCTTCCAGCGTTGGAGGCTTCAACTGGACTGTAGTATCTGATTGACTCTGGTGCATCTGGAACATTATTCATTTCTTCACGTTAGCAGGTGGACTGGCTATTCTCCAAGCAGCCTGCACTGGTTTCCTGTTTTCAGTGCCTTATCTGCCACTTTTTGGTTTGATTTGACTTGATGGTGAAGGCCGAACGTCTCACTACAGCTTTTCCTTGAAGTAATTAGTCTTGCTATCACAAGGCACCTTCCACATATCTACAGTCAGCGCATTACATTCATAGCACACAGAACGGATTACACTGCCATCAACATCAATCAGCATTTTCAGTTACTGCAAAGTCCCTTGGCTGATCCAAAAGTATTTGGACAGTCACACTTGTCCTCTTTTACTTTTCCAGAAGTTTTGATTTGGGTCCATTTATAATCAAACAGGTCATCAGACACCACTGCAAGTGTCATTTAGGCATTTATCGCGCAGTAATTCCAGCCAATTTTGTAGATGTAGCAGTTCTGGGGCGCCAAAAGTATCTGGACAAATCGGAGTCTTTTTCTTTTAGACAGATGTGCTGTAGCAGGTTCTTCAGCTTTTATGTGTGTGCAGGATGTTCAGCCTTCACAGCATGTTTTTTTTTTTTGATGATCTGTTGGTACGTAGCCACACATGGGCTTACGTGTCATTAACACCACAGCAAGCCTTTATTAAGCTGAAAGAAATATTTAAATAAGGCAAGCCAAAATTAACTGTTTATTCCACCACTAAAAAGAAACCACTGGTGTAGGCAGACGTGTCAAAAGCCACCACTTGCAGGAAACCCCACTCGCAGAACCTCGGACGGCACAAATTACTATTAAAAGCACGGGCAAATCACACAAGAGCAGGAAGGCCTGGTGGCAGTTTGCCTAAAAGAAAATCTCTAGAAGACTGCTCAATGATAAACTGATTAGAGACAGATTAATCTCTCTGACTGATGGAGAAAAAGGAACCACCCATTCAGCGCATCATTTCATTTCTGAAACCTGGCAGATGCAGCGTTCTTGCCCTTCAAACCCGCTCATGTTTTTACTGATGTGATCTGACTGCTAAGCAGCAGGACAGTGTGAAAGAAAACATTAAAATATTCTTTACGGAACGATTTTGTCCAAATACTTTTGGTGACCTGAAACGGAAGCATATATACAGAACATGCTGTCAGTCTGCTCGTTAACCACCATGGGTCAAGTGTTGGAGTAGAGCCAAAATATTAAAAAAGCGAACAAAAACAAGGTCCAAATACTTTTGGAGCTCTCTCTATGTTCTGTGCAAATATGCAACAAATGTGTTGAACATGAGAAATAACAGAGAAATACTCTTATTAAGATTTCACAGAGTCTCTCAGTTGCTTTGTATTTGTCTTTTGTGGTAGGTTTTCAGCACTTGCTTGTTGGGAAGATAAAGAACAGAAGAATTACAGCAAGATGGAGGATATATATGAACGTCCCAGTTTAAGATACTCCTGTAAAATTTGAAAACATGCTCTTTTCAATCATGCTAGAAAACATTGTGATAAAGCAAACCAGGCAACAGAAGAAAAGTCTGTGATATTTTGATACTAAAATCCATTGTTGGAAATCAAGAGCTGGTTACAGTACAGAGAAGATACAGGGCTGTGCACTGTGTAGCATCAAAACGTCTCCCAAAAATGGCAATCATGTCCCTTTCAGCTGAATTGTACACTGTACACTGAGGATATGAAATACATTAGATACATTTCAAGTCATAATGGAAATGAAAAAAACAAAAAAGTCAACATGTACATATATACATGGATGTGGGATCCTTCACAGGTCAACAGAGGTACTGCATGCCATGGTTTAAAATGCTTTGCTCTTGGTGGTGGCTGATATGACACAACTTTTATTTGAGACTCTATACAATGTTCATCTACAGGATAGTGTTCCTTAATCTTTAATATGTTTCCCTCAAAGTGATGGACACCCACGAATGCACTCCATGGGGTTTTGATGGTTCGTTTAAAAAAACAAAACAAAAAAAAAATGATTAAAAAATAAAACCTAGTAGAATGAAGTTTCATCGTAATGCATAAAACACTATCATACAAGTTGCTCCTTCTCTGAAGCTCAAAATAAACTAAGTACCCTCAGATATCAGGGGCTTTTCAGTATTCACTCCAGTCCAGTATGGTCTCAAAGGGCCTGAAGGGGGCCAGACCAACCCCCACCAGAATCCTACAGCAAGTTCCAACATTAACATCTGACTCATTTTGGCAAAAACAAAATGGGTAAGGCAGATGTGAACAAAAATCCCAGTTCATGGTTTGTGAAGATGACTCAGGATTTCTTTAGTTAAGCGCTGTAAATGAGCTGATGGCAGTTTTGGACCTGGATATAAAGATGAGCTCTCAGGTAACGTCCCTTTCCCAGACTTCAAGGGGCAGTCTGTTAACGGTAGTGTTGGTGGTCACACAGTGGTGGTCTTATGGCTGCTGTTAGAGGGCACCGTTAGCCTCAGACCCTCTCCGTCCTCGTCCCCCTCGCTGTCCGAGTCCTCCAGCTGGGGGTGGAGTGTAATGCGTCCCGTTCCTGGGCGGGCACTTAGGTGGGACAGGAGCTTCATTCCTTCTTCGTCTGAAGACTGGCAAGACTCATCGTCCCCGCCGTAGTGGTTGACGATGTGAATCCCATCAAAATTGGTCTGGTTGGGTAAGCCCCTCTGTCCTTTTAAACAGCGAATCTGTAAACAAGGAGCGCAGCAATGACTCAAATGGAAACACATTTCACACCACACAGTCGGCACAAGACAGTGGGCAACAAACATTTTCTTCATGCAAATCATGTAAATATCAGTTTAGTGTTTCTTCGTAAGGTTGAGGGAGATATGAACATAATGCGCATGCACTCCCTCAACAGCACAATGACTTCCCAACATGCACATAAGAGTGATCTTGCCCTGCAAGAGCGTCCACTTTTATTTGGATTAGGAAACCAGGGCAGGTTTACAAGGACAAAGGTGCAGGGAGACTCACTCGAAAGAGGCCCTGAATATTCTGTAATAACTCTCGCTAGGATGAAGCAATCTGAACGAAACAATGTGCTCCTCAGTATATGGAGCTTCGAACAAGCCGGGATTGCATTTAATGCAATCAATTACACATACGTCAAGGTATGTAGTGGATTTTTTTGGATTCAGATTGCTTCATCCTAACGGGAGTTACAACAGAAGGTCCTCTTTTGAGTGAATCTCCCTGTATTTTAAAAGTCTCACTGACTTTGTTGTACCTGAGAATGTGAATTTCATAGTATTAAATCCCTGCATATCACTTTCACACGACCTTGCCTTTCTTTTAAAATCAGCTGCCACAAGCCACCATGTAGAAGATCAGCGGGCCACTCCCTTCATTAAATGCATTAAACCATTTTTCATATATTGTTGCTTTCCTAACAAAACCACGTATCTCCAAAATGGCAACTTTGCAGACAAAAGAGAAAAGACAAAAGTATTCATAACTCTAGAGCATGATAAAAAAATACCAATGGCATCAGTACAAGGGTATTATGGTTCCAAATAGGATGGAGCTGAAGACTTATCTGTGTTTACAGTGACCTCATTTTATAAGACCCTCCGCTACACCACATAACTCTGCCCCATCTCTGCCTGCACAGCTCAGAATTAGTGGGTTCCTCCTGAACAGGTATGCAAATGCAATACATATAAAGTTGAACTGTTTGAATGGCTGACTTTCCATAATGAATTTAAACATAATTTAAAAAATAATTATTAATAATATAATAATATATTAATATTATAATAATATAATAATAATTTAAAAATACCTGTTGCCCTTTACATTGTGTGTAAATTTCTTGAAGAGTGGACCAAAAGGAACGGCATGGCCCAAAACGACTTGGAAAAAAGTCTGGTTCCATTAACTTACATTAAAAGTAAAGTAGGTTTTTTCCTTCTCCTTCTCATTTTGGAGATACGAGGTTTTGTTCTGACAACAGCGATATGCCTCTTCATTACTCAGACAGCCAGGTAAAGTATTGCTTTGAATGAAACATCTTCAGAGAGATTTATGTAATACTTGTCAACAGAATCAAACACCCGTGCAGGTAACAAAGCTAATCAGATGAGGCTAAAAGTGGCTTCTTATTCAAACTTTCCATGCCAGCTAAACTGCTGCTGTGGAGGCGATATTTGTCAGGTAGTCATGGTTCACTGAAAACTTGTGGGAGCTCATTACAAAGAAAAACAGCAACGACTCTCAATGGCTATGTTTGAGTAG